GTCAGCTTTCCTGCTCCTCTGATGCTCCTTGGCCTGCTGTGTTCATCCAGCTCTACACCTTGTTATCTCAGATTCTCCAGCATTGGCAGTTCCTACTATCTCAGCTAATCTTTCAGATCTATTTCATCAGAACTAGAACAAAAGTTAGAAATTATTATAGGCTTTGAGCATGTGAAAGCTAAGAAAGTGGGAAGTAGAACAAATGGGAAGGTCTGTGATTGGGTAAACGGTAGAAAAGACTAAATCAAAAAGTTTTGTGGTGCAACACCAAAGGGAATGGTGATGGCACAAGTAAAGAAATAAAAGATATGTTCAGAGGTGGAGTGAATAGCTACTGTGGGTGAGGATGCATTGAGGCTTAGTGCAACACTCTATGGTTGAGCAGGCATCTTGGAATCACTGTTCAGCATTAAGTGTAGAAAATGGCCACTTGGATGAAGCACAGGGTTACTGTCTAAGCTGTAGCCCTAAGATGACTCACTGCTTTAAAGAGAGGAGAGAAATTCTTTGTCCAATGCTGGTTTATTTCTCATTTGAGGTGAAGGTTAAGGCTGGGCAGCAGAACACTTCTCCCTTGGGACCCCAATGTAAACATTGACTAGTCTGCTGGGATCAAAGAAAGCAAATGCTGGAAATGCTACATGGGGTCATCATTTGGAGGCAGAAGGGGAGTCAGCATTTCAGATTGACAGTCTTTTAACTGAAACGTGGATTAAACCAGTCATCATTGTTTTTTGTAGAACCCTTAGAGAATTCAGCCTGATTTGAGCTGAAATATTTCAGAGCATCACTATTGAAGCGCACCCAAATTGGCCATGTTTCTCGCAAATTACCCCTTTCATCGGATTTTGCTGAAAATATTGAAGACTCAATAGCAGAACAAGATTTGTAGTGATTGCAGAGGAACGTACTGAAGAAGTCACTTCAGAAATAAAGTGTCAATTGTCAGAACTTTGACATATCCTGCGCAAACAACAAAATACTGTGTCAGCTCCACTAATCAAGAGAACTAAGTTCTTTGTACTACAATGTTACAAAGAGCAGCAGGAACTTCCTTGGCCTAAGAATAACACTACAAATTATTCAGGAAGAAATGCTATGGAAATATGGTTTTGAACCTTCTACGTTTGCCGTGATCTCAAATGAGAGTATGTGCTCAGAATTCTGTCGCACCTTCCATTAAGAAGTGTATTGCTTTCCCTTTCTCTCCCATTTATTTATTTTTATGTGAAAATTTATCAAACTTTTGTGGTAACAGGTTTGATAAATGTTTTAAAACATTGAAGTCGGTACTTTAAGCCAAGTAAACGAAAGACAACTAACAAAATTGTAAAGATAATGAAAGTTATTTTTTAGTCTTACATATCACCAAATGAGATATACAAAACAGTTGCTGGAAGGAATTTGATACAGCTACAGGCTCACAGACAGAGAGTAAAATAAATTGGGGAAAGTGACTTACATATTGATTTTGTACGGTTGAGGATCAGATGAATGTAGATCCAGTGTGAATCCCAGAATTTAAATAGCTTTCTTACCATAATAAAGTCCCTATATGCTGGGGACACCCAGTGCAGAACATCTCTCTCAGTCTATAAACATGACCCAAATTTCCTGCCTCTTGTCATTTTGATTTCCCTCCTTGTTGCCCCTCTGACCTTTCTGCTGTTGAATTGCTGCTGCATTCAATGCAAGCTCCAGAAACAGCACCTCATTACTCGATTTGACTCTTCATAGCCTTCAAGATTCGACATTGACTTCAACAATTTTTGATTGTAACCCATGCCCCCAGTTCGTTTCCTTTCTCTTTGCTGTGTTTCTCCCTCTCTTGTTTTTCTTTTTATTCCTCCTCTTTGTCTTAAAATAGCAACTATTCAAGATCCTGTTACTCCTGAACCCTTTTGTCATTTAATCTTTCCTGCTTTTTACTTTATCGCAGACCTTCCCTTTTGTTGTTTTTCACACCCTGCCTGTATTTCAATTGCTCATTTCGGTCCTCTTCCAGTTCCAATGAAAGGTCATGGACCTGAAACATTAACTCTGTTTATCCATCTCAAGATACTTCCAGACCTTCTGAATATTTGTAGCAATGTCAGAATTTGCTATATTTTGGTTTGATGTTGTTGATTTTTTAAAAAATCTGTATTCATCTCTTCCTCCTCACCATGTGTTAGAGAAGGATGTATTGAGATAACTATGAACCCAGCTATTGGGTGAGGAGGTGTAGAAGGGATCAGCCACTGGCATTGGTACTGGCTATTCTTCTGGATGCTGACCCTGTTTCTAGGGGTGAGCGTTTGCACCCAGACACCCAATTCAGCTTTGAACTGTAAGGCTTAAAAAAACAAAAGTTGGATTGCAGGAGACCCTGCAATGTATAACCATGAAATGGAGCCACGGATTATTGTAATAGCACTATTTATTATTGTAATAGACTTAATATGCAAACTCATTTACACACTCCTTTGAAACTATTGTGCTTCTTTTAGGGTATGTTACTCAAGAGGAGTGGGAAGTCACTAAACAAAGAGTGGAAGAAGAAATACGTAACACTGTGTGATAATGGGATCTTGACATATCATCCAAGTTTGCATGTAAGTGTATGATTTTCAGTAAGCTCTTCTCAAACTCTGGGCCATTCACCCACGCAGTCAAGCAGAAAGAGCTGTTGTTGAGAGTTGAATCGGTGGAAAAAGACATCACTTCTGCTGATGTTGTTTGTAATTTAAAATCACTCTGCAACCTTGAAAACTGTGTGGAACGTTTATAAATTTAACGCAACTGGTTTGCATACAAATTTAATCTCACTCTATTGACATATTCTTCTACTTCATTCTCTCTTGCATGTTTATCTACATCCCCTTAAATGCTATTGACCTGCTGTCCTCACTGTAATGTTGAGTTTTGCATTCTCAGTGATCTCTGAGTGAAGAAGTTCGTCCTGCATTTATTAGTGTAGACCTTCTTAAACTGTGGGCTGTGATCCCCCCCGATCTGTTTGAGAGATGAAATTGTGGGAATGCCATCTCCAAGGGAGCAATGGCTGGCATGTCGCTCAGATCAAGCTATAAGACCCCTTTAAAGCCTCACATTTTATGTATGACAGGTGTGGCCTGATAGACAGGTCACTGCTGCAAAAGAGCCCATGTAAAGGTATGTGTGCTTATTTAAAGAAAACCCTTCAGTCTAAATAATTCTCACCACATTAAACCTAACCTCTCCTCCCCTCCCTCCACCCACTCAGTAGGTAAAACTACAAACTGGAGGAACTGGCCTAAAAGAGGCGGGACCAATTTTGCGTGTGCTATTGGGAAGTTGACATGGCAATGGTATGGGAACTAGGAAATTACACTAGACAGAACTACCAATGTGCACATAATGCTGATAGTACTAGAGTAGAGAACAGTAAGCTAGTGGCTGAGGTCAGAATAAGAGAGAAATTGATAAAGTCTAAATTAAGGTTCTGTGCAATTATGTGAATGCACGTGAATAAGGCTGATGAGTTACAAATGCCAATAACCAAGCGGAAACACGATGATATGGCTGTGTCAGAGACCTAATTCACAAAGTCAGGATTAAGTATTAAATATTCCAGGATGTAAGGTATTCAGGCAAGATGGAAAAGAGACCAAAGTGTGAGGAGTAGTGACGGTATTGATAAAAGAGAAAATTACAGTCACTGAGAAAGAGGATGTCTCAGATGGTCGGAAGACAGAATGTCTTTGTCTAGAGGTAAGGAACAAAAGACAAAAGTGTTATTACTTTGTTAGGTATCATCTATAGACCACTGACGAATAAGGATGGTCAGAGGAACAGAAGTGTAAGGAAATTACAGAGAAATGCATCAGTTAATGTGTATTTATAATGGGACAGTAGTAGTGTAAAAAGGCAGAGAGGACAAAAGTTCCTGGAGTGTGTTTGGGAGAACTTTCTACATGAGAATGTTTCTAGTTCAATGAAAAAAGAAGCACTGCTAGTCGTGGTCCTTTTGAATAAGGTGAATCAAAGCAATCAGGTGTCAGGAGGAGAACATTTAGCTGACAGTGTCAATTGGGTCATAAAATTTAGACTGACCATGGAAAAAGACAAGGACCAATCTAGGGTAGGAATAATTAAATGGGAGAAAGCCAACTTAAGTGGGGTCAGATAAGCTGGAATTATGTATTGATTGAGAGGACTGTAATTGAACAGTGGACTGCCTTTAGAGAAAAGAAGAAATATTTTGAGCACAGTTAATATCTAGTCCCAGAAAAGGGAAAGGTAGGGCAAATAAATCCTGGAATATCAAAGGAGGTAGAGCTTAAGATAAGAAAGAAAAACAAACTTGTAACAGCTGTAATGTAGAGAAAGTAACTGTGAACCAGGCTGAATATAGAAGGGTCAAAGGGGAATTGAAAAGCAAATAAGAAGTAAAGAGAGAAAATGAGAAGAGACTGACAGCTAAACTAAAATGGAACACTAAAGTCTTCTACAGGCATTTAAATAGTAAAAAGGAGGAATTGGGTTATTAGAGGCCCAAAGGAGATTTATGCATGAAGGCCAAGGACATGACTAGGGTATTAAATATTTTGTATGTATCTTCGTCAAAGAAGAAAATAATGCACAGGTTGTGGTGAAAAATAAGGTAGTTTACACTGTGCCTGAAAGTGTGGTAGAGGTAGATCAATCAAAGCATTCGAGAGATTTCAATTAATATCCAGCAAGGAAGAATATCCTTTTGTGGAGAAGGGTGGAGTGTGGCACTAGAGATTGTTTCTTTCAAAATAGGCTGAATGGCTGATTAGCTGAGCCTGGCAGTTTACCAGCTCTCCTCATGCCTCCTAGCTCTCTACCTGAAGTTTCTAAATCTTGCCTCCAAATGTGCTAAATTAGTCAACAAAGGATAAGGTTTGATGGTGTTGCAACATGATTAAAAAACACAAATCATAGAATGGTTACAGCACAGGAGGAGACCGTTTGGCCTGTAGCTGACAAAACAGTCCCCAGTATCACACTCAAACTTTCTTCACATAAGGATATTCTTCATTTCTGGATATTAATTGAAAACCCTCTTGAATACATTGGTTGAATCTCTTTGACTCATTGAGCAAATCAGATGATACTGAACCTAAGTATTTTTACACTCTTTGACCACTTAAGTCCAGTGATCTCGTTTATTTGGTTTGTTTTGTGATCAAACCTGGAACTGCTTTGTTTACACCTGGTTGTGCGTGTGACCCCTAAACCTTTGTGATTAGAGGAGGGAATTAGTCTATTTATATGTGTAGCATTAATATTGAACTGAAGTGTTTTTTGACTTAGCATCTTAAACACATTGCATCCCTTTTCCTAGCAATATGAAGGTGGCTATGTGCTATCAGAACTTTTCATCTTGCAATCATCTGGACAGATGCAAGAATCCCAAATTTCAAAGAGGGCGTCAGTTTATTTTTTACGAGAGGCAGGTGCTGATTGGTCGAAGTGTTGTCAAGACGAATGTACCAGGGGACTATTATACAGCAACGTTTTGTTTAATTCAAAGCAGGCATGCTGCCTGGACATGTTCCTTTACTGCAGAGGACAGGTCCATATCTACAAATACATGTTGTGTCTAGCAAGCATGAACCACGTTGCAAGCTCAACAGACAAACTTAAATTGGTAAACAAAAAAAAACTGCAGATGCTGGAAATCAGAAACGTTAACCAAAATTGCTGGATAAACTCAGATCTGGCAGCAACTGTGGCGGGAAAGCAAAGTTAACATTTCAGGTCCAGTGACCCTTCTTCAGAATAGGAAACTTAAATTGGTTGTTAGTGTAATTGTTAACACACTAGGGATTGTTTACAAGTGCTTTCCAATTGTGAAATCACATTTAACATTAGACAATATGGTCTGAGTCTTGCATGGTTGGTTCAGAATTGTCAGAGAACAGTGGAAGGGAGATGCTGCTTGTTATGATCCACCATCCACTTTGGAAGCTGTGATTCTGAGCAATTTGGAACAATGTGTTTCTATCTGTACGTGTATTTGTGACTTTGACTACATAATTCTGACATGGACTGTAGTATGCGTGACTGCTCTGTATGTGCACAAACGTGACTATGCCCATGTGACTGTTTGCCTGCACATAACTTTGCACATGTGACTGTTTTTATGGATGGATAGACGGTATGAGAGCTTTGCAGTGTTGACTATTTTTGGTATAATTTAGTAATTGTCCCTGTTGTGCTATCTCTGCATTTTAAATCATTACAATTAAAAATTGCAATAACAAGTGACACCATTGAGCTTCCTTCCTCCTTTGCAGCCATTTGTGCTACTAGCTGCTTACATTAATGTTTGAGTTTCTTGTTTTACGCAAATGAGGCATGATTAAAGTAAAGCTGGGGGGGGTGGTGTGATTGTCAAAATAATGACTCCATCTGGAGCAATTTCTAAACTTAAAAATTGTACAATTCCTCATGCGAACAGTTTAAAGCACTGAGTTGTGTCCTGGGCATTGGTACTGTTTACAGTGGCCAGCAACAGAACTGGGCAGCGCACTGGAGCTTTGTCTCTGTACTCGGTATATGCAGAATTTGATTTTGATGGTGCAAGTAAGAAATAGAAGCAATCATTCTGCAAATTTGCAATTACTGAGAAAAACAAACATTCAGCTGCACAGTTCATGACTTTGTCTCTCTTTATGGTTAACATTTAAGCATTTTTAAACAAAAACAACGGGTTGTAACAGTAAAATTCCTTTTAAGTAGAGGACATCGGTCCTTAATGGTCTGTATTCTGTTTTGTCTTATGACCACTGAAGGCCTCTCATACCCTGGTAGAAGTTGGTACTGTACTACACAATGGGAAGGAATGGTGCTGTGAGCTTTGGTTAAACATCCATAAAATAATTCTGTTTGTTGAAATAAATGTAACTGTATTTAAAGGTTTGAGCAGTGTCACTTTGGAGAGAAAGCTGTTCCTTTTCAATAGATGTCATGGTCAATGAATTTATTCTGTTAAACTGTACAGCCTACTCCAAAGGTAGGCCTATGGATTTTGTAGACCATACTTTAGTCAGGTGACGGGTCAGTTTAAAGCTAAGGGTTGTTTAGGTGATGGATCAATGGGCTGATAGTTTTGTTCAAAGGGCAGGTTTGTTCAGGTAACAGGCTCATTCAGATGACATTTTCTAATCAGGATGCTATGACGTGAAACCCATCAATAAGTAAAATAATACAAATTGCATGATTTTGAATTTGATTGCATTTGTTTTGGGCGTTAGTGTTTATGTAATGTACCTGTCAGATGTGAAGTATTCTCTATCAAAACAATCTGGCTGCACAGTATTGGCTATTTCTCTGCTGCAACTTTAGGCAAGATGTAGCTGATTGTTACATTAGGTTAAGCTGTGAATTAAATGAACCATGTCTTATTTGGGTGCAACTAGCTTCGAAGCTGTCTGCCCTCAAGGCCAGTTTATAGCATTTTATGCCTTTAAAATTAGCGCAGCCACACATTAGCTGCAGGCTTTGTGTATTATGCCTTTGAACTCCAGAAGCAACGGGAACCTGGACAGCTTTTCACAGGTCGGCAGCTTGTTTTGCATCTTTTCCAGACACTGTGTGCCTT